CTTCAGAGCCACGCCACCACCTATTCTACCATCGCCATAGTGGCAATGCCCAGAGATAAGCACATTGGGAGGTCCATCGTCATATGTTTTGACGCAAAAACTACATGTGTGCCACCTTGGCCTGACTAGGTGGCAAAATATTCCACCAAAACAATGCCACGTCGGATAAAAAATTGGTTTTAACCATGGTTGCCCCTTTTAGGGATGAAGCTTACATTGTATTTGAAGTTTTTTTTGCGGGTGACTGTATTTGAAGTTAAGTGTGTATACAACAACAAAATATCAGGGAAGAAACCTACAGTATGGTGATAGTTCAAGGAAAGAAAATACACACCGTCCTAGTTACAACTATGTTTTTTTCCTTGATAAAGGATGGTTTTTTATCGACTCAGAATGAAGCATCGACATCGTCCAAGCTACAACTATGTTTTTTTTCTTGATAAAGGATGGTTTTCTATTGACTTAGAATTAAGCATTGAGCGGATACAAACACAGTGAACACACATCCAACTTCTGAATGACTAGGACGGACACAACTAAAACTAACGCAAACACACACAAAAAATCATGCCAACAAAGATCAAAGTCATACAAGACTGAAGCTCTGCCTAGGAGGAGAAACCATCAAAACAATGAACGATGAACTACAACAATGATCATCCTCACCAATCATCTCTTGACATCATAAAGACAACAAGAAATGTTCTTCAGCAGCAACACCTTCAGGAAAGAAACAATACAATTTTGTGACTACAATTATCTTATTCAGGAAATATATTGCCACATTTTACCCTCTTGGCAACTACCTGGTCGTTTTAGCTATTTCAATGCAAAATGTACTCATAACTTGAGGAATACAAATTTGATCTGAAGTCCATATATATATGAACCATTACTAAAACCTTCACAAATATTAGGTCTATAAGTTTGAGAGAATTATAAAGTAAGTGTATATAGAGAATGAGTAGAAACACCGGGAGGCAAGTAAATTTTATACTAGAAGAAATAAAATTATTTATGGTATGTGATTGCTGCAACTTATAACTTATTTTTTATGTGAAATTACGTAACCTGGGTTGTAGCAAACGGTTTGCGGTTTTATCTCTAGCTTGCAAATGATAGTAATTTTTTAACCAAATTTTGCACGTGCGTGAGTTTACCTATGTTTTCCATGAAGTTTGAAGTACTCCCTCAAATCCTTTTTTACTCTGCATATAAGAATTGTCTGAAGTCAAACTTCGTAAAATTTAACCATATTTATATGAAAAAATATTAACATCTACCATGCTAAAGTTATACAATATGAAAATTTAAATCATGACGCATCTACTACTACTGATTCCTCATTATGAATGTTAGTATTTTCTTTCTATAAAGTTGATCAAATTTTATGAGGCTTGACTGCAGATAAATCTTATATGTGAACAAAAAGACCAGAGGGAGCATATAGTTCACGGGAAGGCACTCTTTAAATAATAAATTATCCTACCGACCCTCAGTATCCTCAAATCAAAGCATAATAAGTAGGAACAGTGGATTACGTGGAGAGGCGAGGGCCCGTCACAGGCAGTACTTCTTAAGGGCCACAAAATTTAAAATGAAAGTACACGACATTTCGGATGTAGAGTAGCTTCCGAAGGGCACACAAGGTAGTAGTACAGCGTAGTAGGAGTACGTGCCTAGGTGCGTACGTGTAGCTAGGATGCAGCATGTCGTTGTTGGGGAACGTTGCAGAAAACAAAAAATTTCTTACGGTTTCATCAAGATCCATCTATGAATTCATCTAGCAACGAGTGATCGGATGCATCTACATACCTTTGTAGATCACGAGCGGAAGCGTTCAAAGAACGGGGATGAGGTAGTCGAACACGACGTGATCCAAATCACCGGAGAGCCTAGCACCAAACGGACGGCACCTCCGCGTTTAACACACGTACGGTCAGCGTAACGTCTCCTTCTTCTTGATCCAGCAAGAGGGAAGGAGAGGTTGAGGAAGATGGCTCCAGCAGCAGCACGACGGCGTGGTGGTGATGGAGCTGCAGTACTCCGTCACGGCTTCGCCAAGCGCTATGAAGGAGGAGGAGGTGTTGGAGAGGGAGAAGGAGGCAACCAAAGGCATGGATGAAAAAGCCCTCCTTCCCCCACTATATATAGGAGGGCCTAGGGGGGGCGCCGGCCCTAGGAGATCCAATCTCCTAGGGGGCGGCGGCCAAGGGAGGTTTCCCTCCCCCCCAAGGCACCTAGGAGGTGCCTTCCACTAGTGGGACTCTTCCCTTTTGTGAACCCTAGGCGCATGGGCCTCTTGGGGCTGGTGCCCTTGGCCCATGTAGGCCAAGGCGCACCCCCTACAGCCCATGTGGCCCCCGG